TATTGCTGGCAAACTAGGTTAAGGGAGTAAGTTAGTACAACAACAACAACAAGAATATGGCTTCATATCACAAAACATTACTCTCTTCGTGAAGATTTCGAGATACAAGGTAGCTAGTTTTATCTACATTATTTTGTCTGTGATCTATGCTAGGCATATAATTCGCACGTAACACATCCTCTCAATTCAGAAATTTAAACAAGGTACAAAATCCCAATTGTTTGAGGCTACGATTAAACCGTGATGTTCTACGTCTGCAAAACTCTGTATCTTTATGCTTATGACCTCGGGATAATCGTGTGGTTTCAGTCGACAGATTGTGCCTAAAAAGTAGCATTTCACCACCGATAGACAATATGTGCTGATAAGGCAGTTAATAATTGCTAACATAGACAGCTCAGTCGCGTACTCTGACGTAGAAGGGTGAGTATACACGCGACATAATTTATTTAAGTCTTAGGCAGAATTAGTGCCACTGCCATGGCGGAAAACTGAAGAAGGTGGCATGTGGTTGATTGGGGCCCTGAGAAAACGCTGTCGACGATTTGGGTGTTTGAGAATGGAACTACCTCCAACCAACGATTTCCGAGGGTCTATTCGGCAATTATAAGACAACGGCTGCAAGGTTAGTGATGTCGCGGACTTTGGAGCCAGGGGCGTAGGCATTAATTTTAGCCGATACGAGATTGAGTAATCAATTTGGAGTGTTGGCAAAATATTCAGATTTAGAATTTTGTAATAACTGAGGCAAAAATGCTTCACCTTAGTACGCAAAAGCTGACAAGAAGGCTGTCCAATAAGTAGTTAAATTCCCTCTTAAAAGAATAGCAGAATGTTCAAGAACCCTGTAGGGTGGATAGGCTATGAAAGACTTCCTATACAACACCACTGCGAACAACTTAGTGAAGTAAACTTAGAAGTGGAACATCCCAATATCTGCAACCATCTTTATAAGGGTATAACGTAGTTAGACTGACGGTATATATGCGCGAGGTTGTCATAGAATAGAAGTCAATAGCGCAAGAGCAATCGAGTAAGAAAACTAATTGAGCAAGGCATCATCTTTAGACAGTCAACTAACCAGTGCGTTGATCATTGGGTGGAATAGAACTGAGGACTTCAAACACCTTTTGCCTAAATAAGACGATGCGCTCTAACTGTGCAATAACATCGTCGCCTAGCTCTACTTCGTTGGTTTCAGACCAATTTGGCAAATTATCTTCTTCATCTCCACTCCATTCTGATTTCTAAACTCTGGATAATCTTACCAATTATACCCTTACCGGCGCTGGAATGTAATCATCATCCTCGAAAGACTGCTGTGGTGCAGGAGGTGATCGTGAAACCACTGCTTGCATTTCTTTCGAAACTCGAGCTAAGGTTCGGCAAATTTTTTTCGACAAGACAACGGAGGTCGTCATTGCCTACAACAGGCCTTGGCGTTAAGGTGTGAATAAAAATAAGTCCAGGTTTAGCGTAAAGCTGAAAGCGCGGTCTGTTTCTGGAAGGACAACCAATCAATGATCGTAGCGAATAGCACGTTTGTTCTTCCACCTAAATTGCAGCATAGTAAAATTTCACCGACATATTTTCACCAATTTCTTTCACAGATTCTGGTACTAATCCAGGCACTCATTGCATAATTATTTTAAATTTGGTGGGAATTCGTGAGTTGTCATTGTTCTGAACTAGTTTTCTTGGCAAATTATCAGCAGCTCATTTTATTTCGCGTCCGCATCCATGGAGGAAGATGTTAAACATAATTCATTCAGATATGCTTTAGACTGAACGCTCCGTTATCTGAATGGAAAGCATTCTTCTGCCATTGTAAATAGCTCCGACCACAAAAGGATTGTAATTCAATGGTGGAACGCTGAACTGCCTAATGCTCAGTGACTGTGGGCTATTGGCCCCACTTATGTGTTGTTTAAATTTATCAATAACCATTTTTTTGTTTAAACTTAATAAAACACACTTGCACACTTTCGGTTTCGACGCGTGCTAGCAACTATCTTGCTAA